TACCATTCTGTAATAGTAATTTCCTGAGAAAATCTGTCCTGGAAAGTACAGTTCCTTCCCAATATTAATCCCAACAATTTTGTATCCCAATTTATATAATTCATTTAAATGATACTTCCCACGACTTATCATTCATTCATCAAAGTTATTCCTATATAAATTCTGTCCAGAATAGTACGGGTCCCAGTAATTATTATCCTGATTTTTACGCGGGCCCGACAAAAATACAAAAAGTAGTATAAGACAAAAGTGCTAAGTCCGTTTCGTGAATAATGAGAAGTCGAGAACCACATTTTTATTGTTATGTGGATATTCACTGGATATTGATTGTTATCCCCATGGTCAAAGATCTAATATATAAATAAATGTTGATTTTATTCCAAATTTCCAACTGATATTAATATTCAATTATTACACATATATATATATATATATATTCATAAGTATGTTCAATAGGATTGTATAAAATCAAAAATCGAAATGCAAAACATAATAAAACTGTCATTCTATACATAGGTGTAATTACGAGGTAGCTATTTCTACTCCACCTGTTTTATTATTTTATCCACCAGCTAAAATACTATTCAAGATGCTTTTTGCCTCATTATTTTGCTCCAAATGACACCCCTAGCYTCAAAATTGTTTAGAATAAGCCAAATGTAGACTTAATAAACTATACATTTGTAATAGTCTGTACTAAATACAATCAGTTACCTAAATTGGCTTAGACCACAATTAAAGATATATATCTTTAATTGTGGCATAACACTTAAAAGCATAATATAACTCACTGTTTATTAGTTATATCATGGATAATGTGCCATGGCTTGAAGTATGTGGTATGCTATAAATAATTATAACCTACGTTCTTTTAGATTGTATGGTGAGTAAAATGTAATRTGTTTTTATTCGCCATTAGTTTATTACCTCAAATTCACCAATTTAAAGTCTTACATATCCTACAACCYTTTGCAGTAGAGTGGATCCACCACCAATACTGTCAAGATACAGTACTTTTTCATATCCTTTTATAGTATTATGATTATTTAAACATAAAAAAAAACAGATTATTAAAAAATAAGTCAGTTCAAAAAAAATATTTTATTTAATTCTTAAAAAAAAAAATTCCAACCACAAGAACACATTATTTTTATTGTTAAATTCTATCTCAATACTTAGGCACATCAAATGAATACATATGTCTATATTTTAATAATAGTTGTCTTTTCATTTGTAAAGATTGGCGGAGATCATCCATAGCTTTTAACTGTTGTTCACTGTTGTATTGGATTCCAGGTAATTTACAGATCTAAACAATTGAATAAAAAATGTTTATGTTAAATAAAAATAAAGTTTAACAAATTATTTATGAACATAATATCAAACTAGTTCTTAGGTTTAACAAGAAATGTAAAATTTATGGTAATATTATACAACTTACATAGAATAGATTTTTAAAGTACAATTCCATTTTTATTTTTTATAAACTTGTAATGAACAAAGTTTGGGTATTTCAGTCAGACGTGGATCCAGAGGGGTGCTAGTGTGCTATAGCACCCCCTTGGCATGTTGCTACCAGGTTAAAAATAAATATTATACATATTTTTGAGTTTTCCAGGTAAGGTAATACTACGGTATACTAAATTTGTAACAAGAAAAAACTTTTTTTTTTCAATTATGATGTGTATTTTGATTCAAATAATATTTTTTATCAGATCTTTCTCAACCTTCAGAAGGTTGAAAAATTATTCACTATATCTGAAATGCGTCTAAATGGATCGACCATGTTAAATATTTATTAAGAAATAGATATAACATATAAATTAAGTAG